ATTTAAAGGCATCGTGCCAGCTTTAGTCGAGGGCCATATTTTTACTTAACAGTTGAACAGGGTTTCTGGGACTCGTGCCCATATGATCCATATCCGAATGGTGGTTGCTGAAGTTTTCAAGTATTAAAGGACAATATATGCGAAATGTGTATTTTTTGCATATGCGGCAATTTTCAATTAGGTCTAAACAATAATCCAACACAACACAGACTCGTCAGTTACATGTAACTAAATATAGGCATCGTGAAAACTGAAAAGTAAGCACCTCGTCATCCCCTTGTGGGATGCAATTTTTAGTTAATATGAAGCCTCACACTGGCCTTTGCCCCTATTTATAGTCAGGCCTGAAATATGACCTAGCGTCTGAACCCGGTTTCCGGGACCTCTCCACGGGTGATCCTCATCTGCATGGTGGCACTTTGTATCACTGGGTGTTTATCGCTTGTGCGATATCCTGGTGGGGTACAATTAGCTACCTACCTACTATGCTCAAAAGTCAACCATAAGTGCAGTTTATCCTTACTTTGAAGCCAGACACTGGCTGTTGTCGGGGGCCGTGATATAGTGGACGCGGTTTCCGGGACCTCTCCACTAGTGATCCTCGTTCGCATGGTAGCACTTTGGGTCAATTTATGTTTATCGCTCTGTATGATGTTCTGGTGGGGTAAAAGTAACTTACTTACCTACTACATGCTCAAATGTCGATTTTACTATATTTCCGACCCACTAAACGGGGGTTTCTGTGACTTGTTCTTATGTGATTCTCATCCAAATGGTGGCACTTTGTGTCACCTGGTGTTTAATGTAGCTGTTAGTATCTTTCGATCTTTCTAGACAATAATGTTATATTGTGCTAACAGCAGCCTGGGAATCACAGTTCATGGCGAGACTGAAGACTGCTCACATTGAGATGGAAACAATTTAAAATGTAAAAAAGAGTTTACAATTATAATCCATGAATGCAAGAAGTGAAAATAAATATGTTTTTATACTTGACCTCTTCTCTCTCTCTCTCTCTCTCTCTCTCTCTCTCTCTCTCTCTCTCTCTCTCTCTCTCTCTCTCATTGGGAAATAATGAGACAATTGAAGAATGTATAGAATACGAATTGTATGTTAAAAAACAAATATTGTGTATTAAACACAAGGAGATTTCAGAAAGAAGGGTCATTCAGAAAGTAATGCCTAAGAATGTTTTTGAGAAGAGAATCCTGTTGCTGTTAATGCAGAGGTCAACGCTCTCATCTGTGAAAATTCAGACGAAGCAGATGCAATAATCTATACAGACGGATCCGTTATACGCCAAAGAAGAAGCGCATGGGCATTTACAGCACGCTCAGCGGGCAGAACAGTCAAAGAAGCCAACGGCGCCTTCTCCATGACAACCAGCAGCATGACGATGGAGGTGATGGTAGTGACGCAAGCGCTTGCCTGGCTTGAAACACAAAAATACACCCGCGTGTGTATACTCAGTGATTCAATGAGTATGATCCGGAGGGTTCAGGCAGGTTCAGTGCGAAGACAATGGCTTGAATCATTACAGAAGTCCACTGTGCGTGGAGTCACCTTTATTTTTGTTCCGGGACACGCAGGCGTCGATGGAAATGAAAGAGCTGACAGGTTGGCTGGATCCGCTATCACTACCGACTGTCAGCCTATGGATCATGCTGATATTATCAATGCCCTCAGAGAAATGGGAAGGATAGAGGACTTTGGTGGCAGTGAATCAACATCACTCGCCAGAATGGCAGACTTGGGAATTAAGATCGGTACAGCAAAAAACGAGACGCACACCAGACACGCCAGAAGACTTGTTAATCAACATAGAACTGGTACTATTAGCCATCGGACGTTGGGGTTCATACTGAGGGGAGGATCTGAGCACCTATGGACATGTCCGGAGTGCAATGAGGATAACCCAACTAACTAACTAACTAACTAATGTTTTTCTAAGGAAATAATGAAGATAGAAACAGCTTCAAACTTTGGAGAAAAGGATCTGAGGATGTTAATTGTGGTGTAAAGAAGTGTATCTCAGTACATTATCCCCGCTTCTCGGGGTTTTGGCAAAGATCAAAGTGTGGCCTCGCTGCACTGGGTCTGGCCAAGTGGACCGGTCACAACAAAGTCACGGGTGAAATTCAAACGGAAAAGCCATCTCCACAAAATGTGGAGAGAAAAAAAAAAACTGCCGGAAAGTTTCCCCGTTCAGACTGGATTACCGATGTAATATCGAGGTAGTCAGGCACCAGGCTGGGCATTTGGGAGACCGACCCTGAAAAAAAAAATAATTGGGGTTTCTGAAACTTGTTCCCATGAAAATCTCGTCTGGGTGGTGGCACTTTGTGTCACCGGGTGTTTATCCCTCGTTGCAGGGTTGAACTTCACGTCACATTCGTGCCCAAAAGTCCTCCTGCTGACATGCGGGTCATTACAGAATCGGAGAATACCAGCGTCGGAGTTGCGTTTGCGGCAGCTTAAACACCGTTGACAGAAACAAACCAAATACCTCACTGATGTATGCTGGGTCCAGGAGCGCCTTAGTTTCAAGTCAAAGGTCGGCAGCAATTCTATCTCGTGGCTGAGTTGTGATCTTTAAAAAAACTTTGCGGGTGCTATGTGACGATGTCTCTTTACCTCCTCCCCCTTCTTTTTAAGTTGTTCGTATTTCGATGTATGTTTAAAAAAATAAAACTGCACATTACCATCCGAAAGGATCAGCATCGAACCACTAATGTCATCTGTTACATCACAAAGATTTTATTGACAATCATTATACAAAAGACGAAAAACAAATACAACCAGAAATGGGGGGAAAGCAATTTAGGTTTTTGGAATGCAGTAATATACAACAAATGTTGTATATGTCATGAGAAGAATCTCACGTAAGCATGTGAATCACACCAGAACAGTAGGACATGGAGACTGTTAAGACCAGAAACAGCTTAAAATGAATTGCATGTGTCCAGCTGACTGACTGGCACATTTTGCACCATGCCTCGAGACCACGCAGCCACCTTATGATGATGATGATGAACTAATGCAAAATGTCAACCGGAAAGTCGTAGAGGGAAATATGAACAGCTGATTCTGGCATTTAGTCGAAGGTCGTCACGAATATAGCATGAGCGGTCTTCTGCTGTGAGTAGATTTTTTTTTGTATGATTGCTGGCGGATTTATAACTTCTTTAGTCTAATGATTGTCAGTGTGAATTGAATCAGTTATTTAACAGTCTAAAGCAATTGCTTAAGAAAGCAAAGTGAATCGAGCCATTTCAAGTGAGATATGTTCACAATGCGTGAAAGAAATTTTCTTTACAGAACTTAAGAAAAGAGACTTGCTTCCACATCGAAACGTCGTCAGTGAGCGAAGAATGACGACATTGTCGTCGTATGCAGCTCCCTAAGTGAGATAAATACCATACTAATTTGTCTACAGTTAAATAAATACCATACTTGACTAAATGTCTATAGTTAAGTAAATTTCATACTGGACTAAATGTCCAATAAATACCATACTAAATGACAATGGAGTCATTACTTTTACAAAAGACGTATAGTTCCTGGAGAATTTAAACAAAGAAATTTGATCAGATACTACTGTAAACCGATAAACTTTTATATGAGTACCTAGGAAAATACAGTCCTCCCAAGAAAATTATAGTGTTACCTGTGCCCTGTAAAAGACACTTGTGCTGCAAATACTGTTACTCTAGTTTTATGATGTCTGTAAAAGATTATAATGCATGCATAAACCAGGGTGACTATTTCTAGAGGATGCATACAGTTGCTTTGGCCGTTAGTATGGCTGTCTGTATCCTGGTCTGTCTCTGGATTGATGTAGTCCACTGTGAATGTCTTATCACTCTTTCCATGGGTTCATGGAACTGGTACCCGTACTGTATTGCATTGAGGCTCTTGTGGAGATTTGCCAGTGTTTTAAAGCATTTGTAAGCAAGCTATGGTCAGTAGATATTTAGAGAAACTGCACACAAAGGACCCTTTTCCATGCCTTTAGGCATATAGGGCTAGACCAATACTTATAGACCAATTAGCACTTGGTGGGTGATGTGGTCAGCTTCATGGCAGCTACTTTTACTTCCCAGGATTTTACCTGGTACCAATTTAAGGCTGGGTCAACCTGTGAGACAAGGTCATTTTTTTTATCCAGCACTGTTCGGATTTGACCCCCACGACCTTCAGATACATATGCAAGCATCTAGTTGCTACACCACAGAGGCTCCCTGTTTGCACATGGTGTCTTTATTTATAAACAAATGATAAATAGAATAGAAATACCTAAAGGATTGCACATAACAGTAGCACAGGAGTATAATTAGTGCTCTATGACATCCTCCACCATGATCAGTGCTTCTCAACCTTCCTGACATCGCGACCCTTTAATACAATTCCTTGTGTTGGGGTGACCCTCAGCCATAAAATTATTTTCGTTGCTACTTCATAACTTCAGTGAATATGCATTTTCTGATGGTCTTGTGCGACCACTGTGAAAGGGTCGTTCGACCCCCTAAAAGGGTTGAGAACCGCTGGTCTAGATAAATCTTGAGTATTGTATTGATCATTATTTGAAGAACTGTGAAAGATGATAATTTGGACATCAAAGTAAATGACATTCTGATCACAAAAGAAAATACATTTAAGTGCTTGGGAATATTAATTGACAGAAATCTGTCTTTCTCGGCCCACATGAAAAGGTTATGATAAAGAATATGAAGTCATGTGATGCTTTGAAGGGGGTTTTAGCAACTGATAAGGAACAGAGAATTTAACAGACACTGACAGGAGCTTTTTATTTTGGTGACTGAGTATAGTCCATGAATTTTAACAGTATTTCACAGCTAGCTGGAGGTGTGATACATGTAAAATGAGGCCAAATAAGTCATTTTGAGCTTCACAATAGGTATAAACTTGGTGTGCAGCACACATTTGCTTTATAATCCATACATTATAGGCACACATTGCTCTAGGAATAAATCCAAGTTATGAGTTGCAGCAGACAAATAGCACCAACAATGAGGCCATGCAAGTCACTTCAAGTTACTCAAGGGATAAAATCTTGGTGTGCAGAAGATACCTGCTTTACCATCCATACATTATAGGCACACATTGCTCTAGGAATAAATCCAAGTTATGAGTTGCAGCAGACAAATAGCACCAACAATGAGGCCATGCAAGTCACTTCAAGCTACACAATGGATACAATTTTGGTGTGCAGAAGATACCTGCTTGACCCTCCATACGTTATAGGCACATATTGCTCGGGGAATAAATCCAAGTTATGAGTTGCAGCAGACAAAGAGCATGTGCAATGAGGCCATGCGAGTCACTTTAAGCTACTCAATGGATAAAATCCTTGGTGTGCAGCACATATTTGCTTTATCATCCATACATAATAGGCACATATTGCTCTAGGAATAGATCCAAATAATGAGTTGCAGCAGACAAAGAGCACACCTTGCATGAGGTTTTGAATGAGCCCTGAAACGCAGACTGAAATGTGGCATCTATTCTGAGATCAAATAGATAATGCAGCAAGAAACGCTTGAAAAGACTGATAGATGATATTATTGCTGTCTAACAAGAAGTTATACTAGATACTACATATTTGTGTCACTCAAGTCAAGAGGTTAAATTATATACATCATTAAAAAATAAATAATTTTAAAACTGATTATATTTTGTCGACATTGTAAAAAAAAACATTCACAAAATTGTAATTAAAAAATTAATAATCAAAATCTCAATAGAATCTGTATGTATGACAATGATCATCTTGTTCTCAACGTGTACAAGTACGGCCTACTAATCATAAGTTAACATTATTACAGGTACAAATTAATGCAGATACAGATACAATAAAGTATCTGGGTACATGGTTAACATTAGATAGAATATTTCAGGGATTACCAGAACAAGACAGGGTATACAAAAAAATGTATTTTGAAAATGATCATCCCATGCATTTTATTCCCATCTTTGAAAATCAGAGTTTTTTTCCTACTATAGAGAATTAGTTTTAATATATGGCTGGAAATGCTGGGCAGTTAGTAAATAATTTAGTATTATTATTCACTATTGGTTATAAAATTATAACTGTGAATAATAAGTTGAACTGAGTAAAGAATCAGTATCACAGCACTCAGAATATTGCCATAAGTGCTACATCCCAGTCTTCAGCAGCCACTGCAGAGTTCCATTTCTGATGGTGCCAATAACAGTCTGACTGGATATCTGTCTTGCATTCCCTCTGAGTGTTATTGGCCACATCTTCTGGTCACTTCCAGCTGCACCATTCTATTTAGACCAGGAAGATCTCTTTGTGCTTCTGCACTGTTCACTTGCTGCCATGACTGCATCTGGTTTATCATGCATCATTATGTCACTAAGTATTGAAGAACCAGGCAGTCTATCCACCAGTTGACTCTCACAACATGCTTTTGGGGTTGTAGTTGGTCTATTCATGTTTTCCCCACACTGGGGTCCTGGAACCCACATGAAGAATATTAGTATGTAAATGTTGAGTTTTATTTTTAAGACTCTTTGGTTAGAGTGGTCCCCCCCCCCCCCCCCTCCCCCCCCCCTCCCCCCCCCCTCCCCCATGTGGGTTCCGGGGCCCCATTGTGTGGAAAACAAAAATAGACCCACTGCCTCCCCAAAAGCATGTCGTAAGAGTCGACTAATTGGGGAGCTTCCTTTGAAGTTGGAGTGCATCTGCCGGAGAGAGCAAGGAACCAACAGTCTGTATTTAAGAGAATGAGATCTGTAAAACTGATGCACACGCAACACTCAGGTTCTGGAGCAGGACTGCAGTTCAGTAGTGGACGAGTAACCAAAACCTTCCGCCAGAGTGTACAGCTGGTGAACGCGAAGAAGAAGAAGAAGAGTGGTGATAAATAGGTGATGTTATTTTTTATTTTTTTTATATTATTTTGTCATATAGGTGATACTGCATAAGAAAATATAACTCCAGCCATAATGGAGTTTACACCTGGAATGAAACAGGATACAGTACAAGCAGCAGCAGATGGTTCCCAGAACACTGGTTCATTTGATTTGAATTCAGTAGCTCAGTCTTTGGAGAACGTAATTCAGCAAGTGTGTGTAAGTTGGGTGCTGCCTTCTAAATGTCTGCTCTCCTGTTCTAAAACATTTGCGTGTGTATGTTTGTTTTATCCTGATGCCCATGAAATCTTGTGAGTTAACAGGTTTTTTTTTTTACCATGGGGGTAGTGGTGGTGGGTGGGTCACATCTCTGCTTATATTAATAGCTTTCAAACTGTTTGTGATCTGTGGCTTAGGTGTTGCAAACACGCTTCGTAATGCCGGGGTGCCGAGTTTGATCCTGGCTGCACACGATATGTCTTGCATTGGTTTCAACAGTAGTACCGAGAGCTGACCATTCAGAAAGTAATGGCAAACTACTTAACGTAAAATTTGCCTTTAAAAAAAACACAACAGCCAAATAAAGTATCGGGTTGTATCTGCAATGTCCTGTAAAGGATAAGCAACTGTTTTTTAAACTGATTGTGCGTATTGTGTAGGCTGGTCAGGTATGATTATATTTAGTAAAGAAAAGGACCCTTTCCCATTCCATTAAACCTATTAGTCATATATAATGCTTTACTTATGTTTTATAGGCCAGTCGCCACTCGGAGGATGATGTGAACATGACAGCAATGATTATATTTGCCCCCACACACAAAAAATAAGTATTTGGGCCTGAGAAAAAAGCCTTTTTTAGTGAGTGTGACATCATCAAGGCCTCAGTTTGTTCCACTGCTTGTTTCAACCAAATGTTTCTTATCTGGCCTTAGGGAAGGAAAGAAATTAATTCTCTTCTCCATTTGTTTTTATTGATTACCTCCTTTTGGGGTAATCTGTATCAGTTTGGAAAAAAATTGTGTGAAACTTAGAGTGCTGCGATATTACAGTGGCTAGTGGGTTAGTGTTTTGTGGTCATTTATTCAGAACAAAAATTATGAAGGCTCACAATATTTTTCTGCTTATTATTCTTTCTTTTTTTCCAGTTTATTCGGGTAAAGTTTCAGAGAATTATAGTAAAAGAAAAGATCCCTTTCCATGCCTTCCGGCATGTTGGGAATATAGGGCTAGACCTATATTTGTATAGAACAATTGGCGCTTAGTGGGGGATGTGGTCAGCATCACGCTGGCTGCCTTTACTTCCCAGGACTGCAGCTGGTACCAACTCAAGGCTGGTTACACCTGGGAGTCAAGGTCATTTTAGAGAATTATAAGGGTGCTTCTTTTTTTTTACATGCTATGTGGAAAGGTCATTTTTAAAGATTTCTACTGGTCAAAATGGTTAAAGTACCACTTGCTTGTTCTTTGTTAATTTCTCCACCAGTCAGTTTTTTTGCTTCCATATTTTACTACATGCTTTTCCTTGTAACCCTCTTTTTAAAAAACCTGGTTTGTATTTTTAATTTCCTTCGGTGGAATGAAGTCGGTACTCTTTAACCTTTATTTCCTTCACCACCTTTCTTTCTTTTTTTTTTTCTTCCTTGGCATAACAGCTATACATTTGCCTTGGGTCCAACGGTTGTGGGTTTAAATCTGTGTCTAGTCCTTTTTTTTTTTTTTTTATTTAAGGCGCCTGTCATGTTGTTGACCACATCACCCATGGAGTGCCAGCTGGACTATATATAATCTAAGGGCATGGAAAAGGGTCCTTTACTTTTACTTTCTTTTCATTGTAAGACTGCAGAATCTCTGTGGTGATTGTTTTTGTTTCCATAAAATATAACCTATTCTTCTGCATATACACATCTTCAGATATTCCCTTTTTAAAGATAAGGACAAAAGGAACATATGGGGACAAAACAGGAAGGAGCGGTCTTTATATCAGGATAGGGACACAAAGCCAGAGAGATGTCGCACTTACCATAACATAAGCTACAAAAATTATGCGAATAAACCATACCACAAATATAACTGGAGACTGTTTGTTGCCTGGGCTGCTAACAGCAGGTTGAATTTTGCCAAGTTTTTGATTTTTTTTTTTCTAGAATTAAATCGGAATTCACTGTTTCTTAGTATAGAAATAGTTACTAATTAGCACATGTGTTGACGTTCTGCAGGTTTCTGAAGCTAGTATCCCTGCTGGATTCCCAACTGTATCTACTCCTGTAAGGATGTTACAAGCTTGCCTTGATGAAACTGTTAGTGGTGTGTCTGTTGGCAGACATGAGATGCTTGAAGCCATATCTCACATAGATACAGACATAGACAAGATGACGGGAGGACAGCTTGTTGAAAAATTAGCAGCGGTAAATCTTAATACTAGGTATGCATATTTGGATCTCTTTGTTGCTTTTGTTTGATTTACTCTATTTTTTTTAATGTATTATTTACTTTTAGGGATGCGGACTGTTAGTTTCTCATTTTTCAGGCAGATGCACTCCATCTTCAACGAAAACATCCCTTATTATTCTTTTTTCTTCTTCGATTCTTCTGACAGAAAACTTAAATCAGGAGGCTGTTAGCCTTTAAGAAAGCTATTGTGCAGTCCATATCTTCTCGTGTACCATACAACTGTGTCTTCATTATGGTTGAAACAAGCCAAATTGCATCTCTGTTGTCAGCATACAGTTGACAGTGTTCGAGCCACCCTGTTGGACTGCAATGGGTCTGTTATCTCTCCCCCCCCCCCTCCCCAGTCCCCTAATGGGGCTCTGAAACTGAAACCCACATAAGGGGAAATAAAAATGCTAAGTTTGTGTGGTTTTATAGACATTAATGTCATTATTAGACTTGGAATATTTGACGTAGATGTCAAATCAGTACTCCCTATCTTACAAGTAGATCACAAGCATAGAGAATGCTGATGAATAGGTGCTTACACAGAATAAGACTAAATGAGTATGATAAAATCACTAGTGTGAAGCTAATTCTTCCTCTTCTGCCCTTTGTTTCCCCCCCCCCCTTTTCTCCGCCTCATGGAGCATAAACTGTCAACCAGCTCACACCCAAGTCCTACCATCTTTAGCTTTCATGTGTAGTTCAGTCCTCTCCTGTCCATCTTTTTTAACTTTGCTTTATAGTTCCCTTTTCCATTTTTGTTGTTGTTGTGTTTGCCTTTATTTCTCTGAACCTGTGAGTTTCAGTGCAAAGACATTCTAGTTAAAATTTTCTCAGGTTCTTTTAACACTGTCTTTCCTTCACTTCTTGATTCACAGGAATTTTATAAAATTTATGTTACAGACTACAACAAAACAATTACAACTGAAACAATGTTTACTTTCAGTGGTTCAGTGAAGATGCTGAAGAGAAGACTGAAAAGTTACTATAAACACCTAAGAGTTTCCCAGTACCATCAATTGCTGTCAGGTTCTGAAAAGATGCAGTTTGATTACCTTGTTGTTATTGACTTTGAGGCAACTTGTGATGAATCTGATGCCAGCTTTGTACAAGAGATAATTGAGTTTCCAGCTGTATTGGTGGATGTCAAAAATCTAGCTGTGGTAAGTTTTAGGAAGTTGTCTTGACCTTCAAGGGTATTGAAACCTGGGGCTGACATCCCAACTAAAACCTAATTTCATCATAAAACAGAGATATCATTGCCTTGAATTCAGCTGGTTCTAACATACAAGTAGTTGGGTTCACACTTCAACTGCTAAGAAAAGTACAATCTAGAATACAGTCTGAAAATAATATTTGCTATACCCTACACCAGATCTATTCAGCTGGTGGCCTGCGGAGGCCTAGCAAGTGGCCTGCAAATCATTGCCAGTTGTATTGTATTATTGATCTTTCCATGCTGGGGCTCAGGCACGTTTTCAAAATGTAGGCCCCTAAATAAACTTGAATATCCCTGTCCTACACCATCTGCTAAAATCAAATTCTGGATCTTCTTCTTCACGTTCATGGCTGTAAACTCCGGTGAAAAGTTCTGGTTGTTCGTCCACTTCTAGACCGTTGGTTCCTTGCCTCTCAGGCAGAGGCACTCCAGTTTTAAAGGAAATCCCTAATTAGTTTACTCTTATGCACGTTAGGGAGGCAGTGTGGCCCTGGAACCCACATGGGGAGAATTCTGAATCTCATAACACCAAGATCACACTATACAAAATACTGATAAGACTGATTGTCCTATATGGCTCTGGAACCTAGAGTACATTATAAGAGTTTAAGCCTTATTACAATCTTTTTAGAAGAAAGCCTTGTGATGAATCAATGGACCCATCAAGAAAGAAAACAGGGTAGTAAGAAGACTGAGAAGCAGTGAAATTCATATGTTTAAATCACCATTAAGTACTGACATCTTGAGAGCTACTTGACTGTAGTGGTTGGGGCATTTGTAAAGCATGGCAGATAACAGAAAGACCAAAACTGCATGCAGAAAAGAATGGGACTATACCATAATGCAGCCCAAGAAGGCGGGGGAGAGATAATATCCAGGCAGGCCTACAAACACTTAGAGTCACCAACTGGAAAGACATGGCCAATCACAGATGACTGGAGGCGAATAGTATCTGCAGCAGTAAACCGCAAGGGCTCGGAATGCTGAAGAAGGAGAATCCTAGCTAATGCTTGTGAGTCATGGTATCTCCTCAGAATATCTCCTCAGAAGTAAAGATGGCCAGTAATGTTTTGACCACATTACCTACCTATTGGACTAATCAACCACCTTCGTATGCATAAGCATTGATCACTGCTATTTGGATAAAAAGTCGTCTGCATCACTCATGATGGATGAGCAACAACAACAAAAACCTACCAAGTATTGTTTCTTCTCAGGTTGGTCTTCTCTTTGCAGGTTTTTTTTTTTTTTACTTTTAGTGTTTGTAGGTTTGGCTGTATATTATCTCTCCATCGTCACTTTGGTCTTCTTCTTCTTCATCATCTACTCCCATTTAATTATCTTGTGTACAGTGTTTTGTTTCTCTGAATTCCCCAGCAGTTGCACTCTAATAGTCCTTATGCCAGTGATCAGTAGTGATTAAACAGATCTTCTTCTTCTTATGCATTTGTCCAGAAATGTGAATGAGTTGTGTCCATTTATAACATGGCTGCAATATGTGCACTTTTCAGCCAACACATCCAACTTTTGCAGGCATTTTTTGCCCGGGTTTAAACAGATTATGACTTTCATGGTTTCTTCTCACTCTCCATTTTCTGTTGTAGGGATCTTTGATGAGTCCAAATATTTGTCATAAGACTCTTTTCTCAAAAGTTTGTAATAAGACTATCTCTTGTAGTAATAATTACCGTCCTTTTTTGGATGAAATTTTTTGTTAATCGAAGCCCCACTCTGGCTCTTGCCAGGGGCCGCAATATAGCCAGGCCATAAATATGGCCATTTGGCTGAAGGGGGTTTCTGGGACCTCTCCACAGTGATCCTCATTCACATGGTGGCACTTTGTGTCATCGGATGTTTATCGCTTGTGTGATGTCCTGATGGGGTAGAAAGTCAGTCGTCAGTTTATCTCTTTTAGTTGCCCTCGATGTTTCCGAGTAAATAGAACAGTTGGTCTTATCAGCATCAAGTACTGATTGGTCTATAAGAAATATGGATTTAGCAGCATTGATATGATGAAAGTCCTTCACTTTATTTTGACTGAACTGGTTGTACTGAAGTTTCATTTAAATTCAAGGTGGTTTTTTATGCTTTTTGCAGCACGGCATTTTTCACAGTTTCTGCAAGCCCAGAGTGAATCCACTACTGACAACTTTCTGCACATCTCTGACAGACATTGCACAGGTAATGATTTTGTTATTTATGTCTTTTACATGTACACCAGATATTAATTGTGTGTTCTTTTCAGGTCTTTACAACCCAACCGGAGCATTTTATCAGAAGCTGTGTGGCTTTATTGGGCAACTTTATGTTCATCAAACAATGATGAAAATAGTAGTGATTGTATTTGAGCAAGTATGTTAAAACAAAAGAAAAATATTAATGTAGAAACCTATGTAAGAAGCTGATGGAAAAAGGTGGGGGAGGGGGCACACGCAGAAAAAGCTTGTTTGTTTTCACCTAGTCTTTCTGAACTATCTGGTATCTATAATTTGTTTTTTGTTGTTGTAATGGTCATTGATAAAGGCTGCAGTCTAAACATTTGATTGTCTTTAAACATGTTTTTGCCTTCTTCACAGGAACAAATTGATTGTTCTACCAGTCATTCTAAAATATCTGGAGTCTTGATTCTTTTTCTTGATGTAATCAGCTGGTTATCAACTCATAGTTGCTGTAATAAATATAAATAGTTAGTCTGATAATAAAGAGCTCAGGAATGCATGTAATCAAATACATTTATATTGATGTTTAGAGCAGTGTTTTGTGAACATTTAAAAATGAGCATACAAATGGTGTATTTCACAATTTATTGGCAGGTATATTTAACAAGTGCAGAATTTACATCGGACTAGACTGAAGTACAAAATAAATTGTGTTATTTCAGCTACACAAATCAGACAGCCTCCTATTGTTTCATTCAATGTTTCACCAGGAAGGTCATAGACTAACTATATTTTCTTCTGTTTGCAAACCACAGTATCTCCACACATATGTGAGTTGCCTCTGCATATTTTGTATATGATTAATCACCTGGAAGGCACAGTGCTTATATTGTCAAGGGAAAAGTGCCACATTTTTCTATAGCACATCGCTTGCAGAGTGCATAGATAGCTAGATAGATAGATGAACGAACGGACAGACGGGTGGATGGACGGACAGACAGTCAGATTATAGGGGCTAAAAGGTCTTGTTGTATACTATCATTAGCTGTACTAATATATTCTTCAAATACTTATATAGCTAGGGCAGCTACGAAGCATAATGTTTGGCTGGACAGATTTGTGCATTTATGTATTCCAGAAACAATGTTGATGGCAAGACTTCCCCTTAGAGAACACCTTATTCTGAAATCATCTTCCAGGTGGTTAGTCTTTGTACTTGTTTTCCTGGCAACAGTCATATCTCCTGGGAGCCAAGAATTCCTTGTGTCACTGTTATTGTTTTGTTTTGATACCGTCAGGTGTGCCAAAACAAAGAAAACATTGGATTGTTATGTGGGTTCCCTTGAACCTCCTCCCATAAAAATGTTCTAGATTAAAATGAGAGTGGGTGGTGCCATAACCCTTGGCCCCCCCCCCCTCCAATATGTGTAAGGGAGTTGAGGGGCCCCTTTTAACTATGTATCGAGATTCTATGTAAGAGTAGTTATTTATGTACTTAATATTATTTCAAGTATATATTATTATTTTTATTTGCCATTCAGCACATTATTATTGTCAGTGTGCTGCATGGTTAATAAATATAATGTATACCCGAAGTAATATGAAATGTGTAAGCAAACACTTTTATAAATACCCTTGTGTAGTACAAGGGAGTCTTAAGCCTGAGAATTTGGGGTGCATGGATTGTGCATTCACCATGAACTTTGCAGCTTAGGATTGTAATTTTGACCTCAGACTGAAAAAAAAAACCATTGCTTGACGGGATTCAAACTTGGATGTCCTGAATGAGAGCCAGTCATTCATAACTGCTCTGACAGCAGATCATTGCTAAATTATCTGTTTGAAAATTATTGACATTTTAGTCTTATTTTCTAGGCTAAAGTTGATCAAGCCAAGGATTTCACTGAAGTGTTGAGAGACTTTGAACAGTGGCTGCACCTGTACCAACTTGGCACAGTTTATAACTTTGCTGTTGTCACTGATGGGTCAGTTATTTTGTTTTCCTCCTCCTCCTCCTGCAGCTGCTGCTGCTTCTTCTTCAGATTCTTCTTCTTCTTCTTATTTTTATTATTATTATTGTTTTTTTCTTCTTCTCCTTCTTCTTCTTTTTCCTCCTCCTCCTCCTTGTCCCCTTATCCTCCTTTTTTATTCTTCTTCACTTTCTTCAGTTACTTTATTGAAGTGTTATGAAAGATGTAAGAATCTTCTGTGTACTCTTTCCATTGCATTTATAAGTTCATATTCCTTTCCTTGATGTCATTGTTCCATGATTTGCAGGGTCTTACTCTTGCTCTCTGTCTATAGAACCTTTTCAGCATGGCTCTCTCTGGCAGTTAGTAACAAGGCATTCTTGTCAGCTGGCCAAACCATTTTATCTGATGGTTTTTAATAAATTATTTGACATATTTAGTGTCTAATCTTCTTCTGTCTTTTTTTTTTTTTTCTTTTTCTTATTCTTTCTCTTTTTGTTACTTTGGCAGCTGTTTTAAAACATCTCATCTGTTTTGATTTTGTGCTCATTCATTTTAGTAAGGGTCTCTGTTTGTCACTAGTAGCATAAAGTTGGCCAAGCAAAAGTTCTTATTAGATTTGCCTGTGTTTTTTTTAAAGTCTAATTTGATGTAAATAAAGGACCCTTCTATACCAGTGATGCATCATGCTTATGACTTCCTACTGCACCATTCTCTTATGATCATCAAGATCTGTTTGTTTCTGGACTGTTTTCTTGCTCTTAAAGGGCCTTGATAACATGTAGCTTGTTGTGCATTAATTTACCACCAGTTACATACAGAGCCAGCCAGTCTGTCTGCCATTCACTACCCAACACATTTGTAGGTTTTTTCATCTTGATTGCAAACTCCAGTAGAGCATAACTTTAAACCAACTCACACTATGCCATATACAGACCTGCTCAAAATAAAGTCCAGAAGATCAACTTCATTGCAGCAGGTTTTTATCCCATATGGCTTGGTCTGTCTTCGCAGAATGAATAACCCCCTGCTGAGAACATTGCACAAACTTTACAGCTTCGGTGGTGATCCCTAGTGATCTTGGTAAATATGGCACTCTTGAATCAAATGCTGCAGCAGTGAAATTAACCCATGACCTTTAGAGCATGTGAAGCAAATGGCTTTACCATTTTAAAGTGGAAATCTCCTGTTCATGATTAGTTTAGTGTTTTATGCAGGATTAGGTTACCCATCATATTCTGACCTTACTTTGTCACTTCTTACAACAAGAATGATAAGTTGTCTTACTGTGTATTGCTTCCTTTAAAGATCTCTACTAACAAACAACTGACCTGAACAGATTACAGAATATTCTTCTTTATCTTTTCCCTACTAAACATTCATTCCTTTCTGGGTCACAAACAGGATGGTGCATCTAAGGTCACCACTGGTTACCTTAGAGCTTGTCTTCCCATGTAGCTCCCTTAGGCCAAATTCCCAACCCGTGCTAGGAGTAGATAAGGCACATTGTGCAGCATCTGTTCATGTGTCTTATCTACACCACAGTCACGGATGACAGATGCTTTTTTTGTCTGTTCTGTGCAGGTGTGCTTTAAGACTGCTATGTCCTGTCCCAAGCTAAAAGTTATTGTTTGTTCCTGTCATAATCTGGTTAAGGGTGGCGACTTGGTGAATGTGGGACTGCCAGCAGAGCACTAAACATGAGACTGTCATGGTGTGCACACAGGCGACAGAAGCCATGTGAACTACTTGAAGTAAGGAAAGTTGAGCTCAGGTCATGAATTGGCTGAAGACAGTAGTCGACTTGATGTCCTAGCGGATGGTTTGGACATCTGCAGTGTAGCCATACAATATGGGTGTAGAGAAATGGTGGTATAGTTATAGTGACAGTTTAGCCAGTAGTAGTGAGGACATTTGTGTAAGTGTATTAACTGTGATGGTTTTAATAGAACTAGATGATGTTGAAAGAACTATGTCGCTGTTTGTTACTCTTTACAACTTGAAAGTGTCCTCAGATAGCTTGTTATTCTGGAGTCTGTGATAGAGTCTAAGAAGTCATAGCAGAATATGATACCTTCGCCCAGCTTAATAGTGCAGAACGTCATATTGTAGCATAATGAGAGGTGAAGGAAATATTAAGGAATGAGAGGAAAACCTAACTGGCTGATAGAGAGGAGAAAGTATGACAGAACGAACGAACGAACGAACAAACTTTATTTTCGAAGGGTTACAAATTGGGCATGCAGGCCCGTCTGACATTCTGCCCTTCTAAGCACTCATTTTTCATACATTGCCTGTTATCAATAATGCTTGTTATGGATATAATAAAGAAATATGCATTACATAATAGTGCATACACACATCATGTGTACACAATCTTACACACTCACATACACGTATATATACTCTTACATTCTCATACATGCACATTTATATACAGACATACCTAATACATACATACACGCATCTACATACATGCACAAACAGAAAACACACACCCATACATAGACATAAATGCACAAACAGAAAACACACACACATACATGCACACACACATTCATTCCATACATACACACCTACACATGCATGCATGCATACACACACATACAATCACATGTACATACACCCACATCCACACATTTACACTCACATGCATACATATATATACATACACACATGCATACATACACACATCTATACATACACCTACATCCGAGACAGCCCTGTTGTACACACGTGCTCTGACCTTGTACCCGCTTTTGACCACTGAAAACTCCATTACAGAATAAAAATTGTCATCATAAAAATACTAGTATTTATTTGAAATCTTGCAATTTTTTTTTTTTTTTTCAAATATATTTTTTTATTAACAGGTCTTATGACATGGCAAAATTTTTCAAACTTCAGCTGGAACTGTCTGGCATTAGGCTTCCTTTGTGGGCTAGACAGTGGGTGAACATACGCAAAGTTTATAGTGCCTTTAACAGTTGTGGCAGCATGAATCTTCAGCAGATGTTGATTGCAGATGGCATGCAGTTTCAGGGTAGGCCTCACCGTGGCCTTGATGATACAATCAACATAGCAGCAGTAGCGTTGAAGTTGATGCATGATGGTTGTGTTTTTACATTCAATGAGTATTTCTGTTCTTTTGGCTTCAGCATCAGTATTTCAAGAGAAGCTGAATCATAAAGTACATCCCTTATCTCTACTTTATTTTATAAACACTGCAAGAGGGTCACAAGGACTGATGTCAGAATTGTTGAACATGTTGATGTGTTAACAGGAAGAAAATTTATTCCTTCTTCTTCTTCTTGGCTTTCTTACTTCGTTTTTTGAATGCTCTATTTTTACCTATGGGTGTAGACGTTTGCTAGATATATCGCCAGACTTCTCTATCAGCTGTTTCATCTTAGCACTCTAGTGGAAAGTTCTGGCTGTTTATCCACTTTAGGAAATTGGTTGTGTTCCAGAGCTTGAGTCTAGTGTATCACAGAACTGCTAATTTGTGTGCAGACTGTTGGTTCCTTATCTCTCTGGCAGATGCATGTTGACTGTGAAGGAAATGCCCATAATTAGTCACCTTTTATGACGTGCTTGTGAGGGGTAGAGGATTTGTACATTTTAAACTCTAAAATAGGGTTCTGGAGCCCACACGAGGAGATCATGGATAGTAACAATATTCTTACTGTTCATCATTCCTAGCCCTTGAGGTTCATTGTTGCAGATATTGCCCTTCTCCATTCAGCTCTGTGATTGGTCTTCTCTTTTCAAGTGGTGTCTCTGATTTATTTTTGTAGGTCTGTTTGTGTATTCTCTCCTCCGTCTTCTTAGCCTCCCTCGAGGTCTAGCCCATTCAACTCTTTTGCATGTGCAGTTTTTGTTTCTTTGTTATTAGCCATTCTCTCTGTAAGTTCCAACCACTGCATTCTATTAGCCTTTAGTAAGTAATGTAAATTTAAACACAGTATGAATTTTATTGTTGCCTCTCACTGTTCATTCTTTGCTAATTGCATGTTTGATAGGTTCAAAGATTTGTCTTAAGACTGTTTTCAAAAGTTTGTAATCAAATTTCTTCTCTTTCAGTTGTTTTAGACCATATAGCACAAGCTATAAAGCTTAAAGTATGTTGGGTTAAATGGCAATGTGTTTTCTTGTCTTTCAGATTTTAAAGATCTTTCGGTCTCAGTCATTGAATTATTTTGTAAAATTATTGGAAGAAAAGAATCTTTTATTATTGCAAGTGTGTACATTTTAAGGTAGCTACATTTTTTTTTCAACAATGTATGCTTAAATACATTTTTAATTTTAAAATGTGTAAATGGTGAGTAATTTATTGACGGACTTCAGACTGACGAATACCACGAAGATGAATTATAGATTGCTAAAGAATTGTGTGTATGTTGATGGTGGCGTTGCCTTTTCATTTTGTTTTTTATGTGAAAAAAATAGTTTGTGTTGAGAAAGATGGAGTTTCAGATGTCCCATCTGGTTAGTGTCCTTTGGAAATTTTAAATGGTGTCTGCAGGAGTGTTAGGAAAAGAACCGGTAGACATATTGGCTGATTCTGAAGAGAACGGTGCAGTGGTGAGTGACCATATGATCTAGTGAACACTCAACAGAGAAAAGGCATGTTGGACATAGTCAGACTACCATTGGAATTGAAATACCGCTGGCTGCTGAAAATGGGGCCTGAGTGATGTGGTGTCATTTTTTAACTTAACTCAACATGAACATTATTTCATAATACACTGCTATTTATATATAATACTGTGCAAAAGTAATTGATATAGAACATTTTTAAGAGGAGGGAGGAAACTCAAGCATCCATTTCAAACGAAAAAGTTATTGAGGGTGAAAACTAAAGCATCCATTTCAAAGAAAAACAAGTTTATCTGATATGTAAAAGAACCAGAAGAGAACAACTGTCTATGCTGAACAGTTTTTTTGTGTTTTTTTAACACTTAGAAAAACATAAACTATATTTCAGCTTTACAAAACCAATTTAAAGAAAACAGATGCTACGTTGACTATCCTTCATCAGCAAACAGCAATGAGAAACAAAACGCAACACACAAAATGAAATGACTGAAAAAACTTTATTACAGTATCCAGTTATGTAAACAACAAAACACAATAATAATTTAAAATGTCAACAATGGATTGAAAAGATGAGCAGCGGTGAGTATGGAGCTGGGTAAGAATAGCAAGGGCCAGCCAGCAGAAACATGGGTACAAGACATAAGGAACATCTAAGGCAGGAAAATGTATGATCCAGGAGAGCTGGTGAGAGGCCAAGTTTCTGGCAGGCTGTGATGGAAGCAACATTGTCTAAAGAGCATGCTATGTAATGATGTTGATTTGTTCTGCCTTTCATTTTTGATTGATTTTTTTGTACTAATAAGAGTTTGGGAGACAAATTTTCCTCTAAAAATGGTTTCTCTTAAACTGAACAAACATTAAAATTGGCAATGTGCATAAGTTAATTTAAATCAGCAGGTAAATTGTTCTTTATATAGTTTAATTTGATGTTCTTATTAATGTGTATATTGCTTTGAATGATTTTCAGAACCATGTCTTAGTCGAGGTTTCAACTTCATTGTAATCAGGTTTTCCCCATACTTGCTCAGTTCCTGTGCCAGTGCAAATCAAATTGGAAATTAATTGCTCTTGTTTTTTATGGTGTTGTATCATTTCATTATTTGAATATCATGGAGTAAACAGGGGATCCTTTTCATGCCAGATTTTTTACTGGGCATATGATGATAGACTCTCACCTCAATGGGTGATGTGGATATCACATTGGCCTTTCCAGGACTTTTGGACATCACACTGGCCCTTTTCCAGGACTTTTGGACATCACACTGGCTCTTTTCCAGGACTTTTGGACATCACACTGGCCCTTTTCCAGGACTTTTGGACATCACACTGGCCCTTTTCCAGGACTGTTGGACATCACACTGGCCCTTTTCCAGGACTTTTGGACATCACACTGGTCCTTTTCCAGGACTTTTGGACATCACACTGGTCCTTTTCCAGGACTTTTGGACATCACACTGGTCCTTTTCCAGGACTTTTGGACATCACACTGGTCCTTTTCCAGGACTTTTGGACATCACACTGGCCCTTTTCCAAGACTTTTGGACATCACACTGGCCCTTTTCCAAGACTTTTGGACATCACACTGGCCCTTTTCCAAGACTTTTGGACATTACACCATTCCTTTTCTATGACTTTTGGACATCACATTGGCCTTTCCAGGACTTTTGAACATCACACTGGCCCATTTCCAGGACTTTTGGACATCATATCACACTGGCACTTTTCCAGGACTTTTGGACATCACACTGGCCCATTTCCAGGACTTTTGGACATCACATCACACTGGCACTTTTCCAGGACTTTATCTGGTACCTAATTTAGACTGAGTTGATCTGTGATCCAAAGTCATTTTTGAAAAATAAATCATAGTTTACTCTTTCAGGGTGGAATTTTTCATGTGGTTTGGACAAAATTAATTTTGAGCTGAATTTTTTTTTTTACCTCAATGTGATAAAACTAAAACCTTCCTGAAGGAAAAGTATTAGTTGTATAGTGACAAAATATATCAAATTAAAGAGAAATGAATAAAGAATATGTGTAAACAATTTAAGGATCAGAACATGGAGAAGAGAGCTAGAGAGTGAAGTTAAAAAGAGGGGAAGAAAATTTTACACGGGTCACTAATAAGTTTGTGTTCATGTATATACATTTGCAGCAACAACAACAAAGTTTAAGGGAGTAATCAGTAAGTGTGAACAGAACGGAGAATTAAACCACTTTAGTCTCTTTCAACAGCAAAATATTTCAAACAGTGAATCCTTCTGTGACCTTATGAAGTTTTACTAAAGATTAAAAGAGAATTATGACATCTTGGCTATAAAGGCCATCGTTTACACATTAACACTCCCTCCCTCCCCCAAATGCTATTGTTAGGAAATATCATAACCTAGTCGTCCTAAACACTGCACCGGCACAAAAAAGACCAATGTCATTAACTAGGCTTCTCAGGGACTTACCAGTGCAGTAATGTCGGTTAAGAAGCTTCTCTGGTATAAGGAGCAGACAAAAATGCTGCGTTTGTTGAAGCCATTCCTAATGTACAGAAGTGAATCATGGACATTAGTGAAAAATGTGTGAAAGATACATAGATGCGGTTTTAAGGAAAAACTGTGTAAACGTAATGGACAAGATAAAAAATTTGATAAAGATGTCTGGAGAACAGTCAACTAACAAAGAAAGTTATGGTTGTTTGTCTGCTTCTAGATTTGGTCTTGTTCCAGAAGTTGAGTTTGTGTGTACATCTGTTTTACAGTTTGGGCTTATTTGTATGCAGACTATTGGTTCCACACATTTCAGGTAGTTGCACTCTGACTTCAAAGAAAACTCCCTGAATTAGTCACCTTGCACAGCCGATTTACAGATTTGGATACATGCTTGTTGGGGTGGTAGTGGGTCTATTCATATTTTCCCAATAAAATGGTGCCCCGTGCCCACATCGGGACAGCTGGGATCTTGAAACTATGAAGCATTTTCACAATGCTTCAGTCACTGATGCTGAGACCCAAAAAATAGCACATAGCTGGTATCCAGTTCCTATTTTCAATGGATGATGTCCAGGGATGACGTTGTCATTTACTCTTTGAGTCCCAGAGAGTTTAGCATCACAGGCCTAAGGGGTAGTCAAGAGAGACCTAAAATCGGCGCATTATGCGTTCATTAGGCTTTTATGTAGTAACCTATGAACGTACAATGTGTTCCTTGAGACTCAAAGAGTTAAGACGCTGCTGAGCCCATGGTAAAGTGAGTTCTGCAGATAGCAGATCTTTAGTAGATCTTTAGCAGATCTCTACTCACTTAGGACTGCAGGTTACTCCCAGCTCATGTAGCCATTACAGATGCTCTAATTATAACCTCTTTGGAGGTTTAACTGAGTAATCTCTGGATGATATGGTAAACTTTGCAGAAGCAGACTGGAGAGGACAAACTTCTATAGGTACTTCCCTTGAAATGTGAAGTGTTAAACCTTCACAAATTCTAGACTATAACATATTTAATATAATAGCCAGTTCCCTTTATCTTCACCTTTCTTTCCCATTCAGTTCCCAGAAAATTGGAACCTTGTTTGAGTGCACATTGACATACCTTGAAAC